GTTGTGGGGTTGTTAACCAATGTCATAAAACAGCATGTGTGTTACTGTTACATGAGAAACTATCTGTTCTGTAAGCCTTCACCTGAAGTACAATAAAATACTAAAAACAAAAAAAAGAAAGCAAAAAAAAAACAAAAAAAACAAAAACAAAGGTCATCCAAGGCCGAGAAGAGAGCGTAGTGACATGTCATGAGGCTGTTAACCAATATCATAAAACAATATGTGTACTGACTGTTTAATGAGAAAATATTTGTTCTGTAAACCTTCACCTAAAGTACAATTAAAAAAAATAATAATAATAAACTACATTTGTTAAATATTTCAAAAGACAAGATTGCAGAAAGTTACTGCTATGGTCTCTAATTCCTATCATACTTTTCCTCCACATTTTGAGTATGTACTTATGTTATACTCCAAGTCAATACAACATAGTAGTTAAGAGAATCTAGGATCAGACTACTCAAGTTGGAATGTCATTCTGCCATTTATTTGCTGTGCTTCCATTTCTTCATCTATAAAATGAGGTTAATAATATGCACCTCACGCAATCAGCACTTAGCAAAGTGCATACCACATAGTAATTATTCCAGGTTATTGTGTTGTTACTTCTATTACTATTCTTGACATCATAGCTAAGTGCCTAGGACCACATGCTCAAAGTCAGAGTACCTGAAAATTCTGGCCCAGGCACTTACTACTGTATAACCTTGGGGAAATTATTTAACTACTCTGTGTCTCAAAATCCTCATGTGGAAATAGGGACAGTAATATAGTTTCTACCTCACAGAGTTATTATAAGGTTTAAATGTGCTAATGTATGTAAAGCGATTAGACTAGTACCCAACAATAAAAAAGCACCCATAATGTTAGCTGCTATTACTATCATCAGTTCAGTTACCTTTATAAAAAGTTATTCCTATGGTCTGTTGCTATACAATCATTTGCATTTTCTCAAATGTTACATGAATGGAATCAGACAATATGTACTCTTCCTCATTCATTTT